TGAGATTTGTAAAAAGAGAGAGCGCAACCGAGAAAGAATCAAGAACGGTTTCGAAAAGAGGCTCGGTTGGAGCTGAGCTTATCCTCGGGTGTTCGAGCACCGTCTTCAAGCGATTAGCGCTTTCTTGGCCACGAAGAAGCGCCTCGACCGCTTGGTTAACTCCGGGAAGCATCTTTAATGTGTTTAGACTTGTGGATAAGTCAAGACTTAAAAGAGCAAGAAGAGTTTTGTTTCTAAAGTTGTTGGTGTTGTTGTTAATGACCTTGTAGGTCTCACGATTCGTTTTATAACTTTTGGTGAAGGGTAAAATGGAGAGATTTTTGAAACAAATTGGTAAAAAGAAGTTTTTGAATAAATGGGTAAGGTCCGGTCATTGCTTTATTATTCGACATAAAATAATAATCCGTTGGGAAGACAATGACGTACGTGTAATAATATCATACAAAAAAATTATTGTCAACAGAAGTATATCACAACTTTCCGTATTAATTTTTGTGGCCAATCTTTTGTAAGATTTTGTCTAATTTTATAATACTTAACTAAAGACATTTCCTCATACAATTCTCATTCTTGATGATGCAGTGATGCACCCACATGTTTTATGTGTGTAAAACATAGTATGATTTTAAGATAACTTAAAACAATACAAATATAACTTGTCAATACCAGTTGGTTTTAAAAACGAGACCGCTACGCAAATTATAACCGCAAGAAAATTATACAGATTGTAATATTGGATTGTAGTCTTTAAAATGATAATACTAACTAAAATTTAAACATGGAAACCCAAAATAAAAATGCCACATAATGTTGATGGGCTTCTTTGGTAAAAAGCTTTATGTAGAGCCAACAAAAAGAAAAAATGTGATGTTAGAAAGATGTGACATTATGTAACATTGTGTGTTATTGGATAAAATAAAATTGACATATTTGTAAAAAGAAACATGCAAAATTAATTGGTTTAACATGAGATATATATATATAAAAATTCCCTTTGAAAAAGAGAGTAACATATGTATATCTTTTTTTTTTAACATTTTGCTTTGGAATAACATATGTATAGTTAGATTCATGAAGGAATGGTTCTAAAATAAAGCCGGTTGCGGATCTAAAGCCCTTTTATGCTCTTTTTTTTTTTCCTTACCTTCTTTCCTCCTAAAAAAAAAAGAAGACAAAAACAGAAATGTGATTTTTCCAAGAATAGGTATATTCCTCGATAGAAAGATTTATGAGTATGCGGAAAGTGAATAAGAAAGGTAATAGACAATCCTAAATTTGGATGTGAGTGGGAAAAAGAAAAATACTTTCTCTGCACCATACCCACTTTTCTTCTTCCATGTCTTTCCGCAAGGCATCTCTTTAAAAAATGGTTTCTCTACGTAATCATCTCATTTATGCTAAAATTTATTTTGCACTGTTTGATGCTATATCCTATATTAAAGAAGTAAGGATAATGTTTTGACAGAAAAAAAATAAAACTTATAAAAGGAGGAAGGAAGACAATACTCTTAAGTCGCCCTCGCTGGCTCAACCTCCATAATTTCTCAATTAGGCATCACCAATCTTTTCATTTAAAATCTAAGAAAAACTAGAAACAAAAATGAAAGATCATTTGACACATTTCTATTTCAAAATAATACAAATTAAGCTTTGAGACAGTGTGATCGTTTCCGAATTCTTTTTCATTCGTAAAAAAGACCCTTTCCTTTATAAAGAAGAAAACTCCTTATATTTACAAAATTTCATAGAATCTTCAGTATAAGAGCATGGTGTCAATATGGAAAATTAAACTCCAATACATCTCACCGTGAAATGGCTTTTTTTACATTTTAATTGATTAATGAATTTACGTGTAACATTTCATGGTACTTTCTAAAAAAAACATTTCATGGATTTACGTCTTCTTGTTCGTAATCCAATGTTCTATAAGCCAATTCCGATGGTTTTCTATCTTGGTTAGTGCTTTTCTGATTCGAACAAGATCACCTGTTTTTATTTTTATTTAAAAGACGTCAAATTATTTTATTTTTTTTATTTTTGGTGTGCCTAAGAGCATCCTCAATGGGGGGATCTTAACCCAAATTCTTAAATATAAAATTATTAAAACACACACTCTCTCTTACTTTTACTCAACTTTTTACTTTCTCTTTCATCCTTTTATTCAACTTTTATTAATTTTATATTTAAACACTCTCTCATCATTTTAAAAACACTCTCCAAAAGTTCTTATCTAAGCAACTCTCTCTTCTTTTTACTCAACTTTTATTAATTTTATATTTAAACACACCCACTATCCTCTTTTTACTCAAATTTTATATTCCAATACACCCAATAAAAACACTCTCTTTCTTCTTTTTACTTAAATTTTAATAATTTTATATTTTAAGAACTCCTTAAGCACCCCCATTGAGGATGCTCTAAGAAAGTGGAAATAGTCTCCAAGCCTAAAGTCGTGGAATTCGTGGTCACTACGCAGCCTTGATAATTTGGCTCACGTGTTGATCGTAAATAGACGTGCACAGTGAAGCTCACCCGCCTGACTTATTAATTTATAATAATATTTTATATTTACAAAAGTAAAATTAAAAAAGGAACCAATGTGTGCGCAATCGAATTGTGGTAATTGCTGGGACGTTTAAATAATGTCGTTTTATCGATAATCAAATGCAGTGATTCAACTAAAACTGCGCATTACCATTAACACGACTCATGTCGAATTAATTACTTTTGTTGTCATCAGTCATCATGATGCTACGTACATATCGATTACACACATAACCATCAAAATGATGTTACATTTTATGTTTATTAGAAAACGGGTAAGTGAGAACCGAATAGAGTAATCGAATAAGATCCTATTTAAACAACAAAAGTTTTTTTAGAAAACTATTTTAACAGGTTAAATATATATTTGATAAACAAATTGAACATAACCTTTGAGACATCTCTGAAATACTTGATGGCTATATTTAGGTTGCAATTGGGTGTAACGAGTTGAATGGGTTAAATAAAATTAAGTGGAAAACAATTGAGAAAAAAAAAGTTATTCCATTCAGTTCTCTTCTATTAGTGGAAAAAATATTTTAAAAGGATTATGTTTTTTTTTTCTTGTTACGCTAGATTGAAAGAATTTAAAAAAATATATATAATTAATTGATAATTTAAAAAAAAATTTAAAATATAACACACAGTTTTCTAATTTTATTTTTCTAAAATAGTAGCTATTTGCACCCTTAGCTTGAAAGATTGGTCGGAATCCAGTTTGTAATTTTCTAGTAAACAAAAAGAAAAAGAAACAATCACATTTTTAAGTTTGTCACTTTTTTCTTCCTCGAACAATCATTGATTTAACAGTTTCTCACCTTACGAAAACCAATTACTTTTTATTAAATCTTTGAAAGAAAAGTGATACTTATGCTAAAAGAAATGGGCGATATATAAGAAAGCAAAGCTAATGATTTGTTTTTTCTACTTGCATGGATTAGGTGATGGGTCCACCATCAAATAAACTTATTTGCTTTTCCTAAGCTGGCGAAGCTTGACAAAATGTGTCTACCATTGAAATGTCTTATTCAAATATGTATATGTCATAAAGTTAAATTGGCTTATTGCGATTTAGATACGCCTTTCCAAAGGTCACTCCATAATATTGACAAATCTAGTACATATACATGTCCGAATTCGGAGTCTTCACTCGTTATAAAAAATCCATCAAGCCAACAAGTCTTTATCATAATCTTTCATTTAAAAAAATACTTTTATATAATAAAGTTTCTCTATATTTTATTTGACCTTAAAAAGCAGTAGAAGCACATACCGGAATATTGGAGAAGTTTCCATTTCCGTTACAAATGAAATGTATCTGTTTTTAGGTGTGATCCTGGTTAGATTTATACTTTTTAGGGTTTCCACTACAAATCATAGATCTTGAAGAAAATACTCGAGTAAAATAAAGTTAGATGACTCGTTTTATGTGTTACCATACTGAATCCACCGTTATTATTTTACAACCAAAACTCCATTTATTAAACTATTGGCGTGAATAAGCTCAGTTCATCATTATTACTTATTAGAATGTTAAATCAACATAATAGAAAATTTTGAAAATTTGTCTTTAATAGACTTGGATGCATCTAACTCTTAAGCTAGGTTGCATGGAAATTCCGACTAAAGTTTGTTTCCTATTTCGGAAACGTTTCAGAACGGAAACGTGATGGAAACGCTGGGAAAAACGTTTTTTAAAATTCTTAATTTGGAAACGCGATGAAAACGTCTTTTTCATTTTGGAAATGCGATGAAAACGTCGTTTCCAGTTTGGAAACGCGATGGAAACGCGACTTGACTAATACTTTGAAAAATTAAGGATCTATTTGTTATTATTAATAAATTTTAGAACCTAATTATGAAATATTCACATTTTTTTCTTTTCTAAACATTTGACTTTGAGTGTTGTTTTTATTTTATTTTTAAGTTAAACTATTTAATATATATGTATTGGATTTGTGTTATTTTAATTAACTTTTTTAAATATGGTTTTAACTATTGATATTTTTTGTTTG